ATAATTCAAACAAGTAGATACTGTTAGTAGAAATATCTCTACCACCATCAGTCACTAGTCCTCCATACATAATTCCTTTATTATGACTTATCCTTTCAACTATAAATAGACTAGTTGGTGGAAAACATTGTCCACTGACAAATGGAACAATCCATTGTCCTAAAAATAATAATTATCAGTAACTACATACATAGTTTATAAGCACACTATACCACCAGGTCTATATCTATGACTATACTACCGTATAGCGGAAAATTTTTGTGACCCAAAATTTTTGTGGATTTCGTGTTTTTTCAAAATCCACAAAAATAAAATCTGCGAAAATTGTTTCAATACAGTTCAAGATGGCTGAATAGTAGAAAATTACAATAGACCACCCAGAGTGAGAATTGCTTGTGTGGGAAGATTATTACAGTTGTAAGGCATGGTTTACAATGAAATAAATTCCGGCCGCCATTTTGATTGGCAACTTTCAATGGAGAACAAATGGGCCGACATAAAAACAAACAATTCTGGAGCGAATTTGACCAAATCTTTTAAAGGAGAAGCTTAGAGGCAGCTATTCTTTCTTATAACAAGCATTTTTTAGCTATTGATAGAGCTACAGCAGATAAGTGAGGCATTTCCTTCGTGCCTCCATTGACTTCCTTAACAAACCTGCCAACCAAAATGGTAGCCAATTATGATGTGTGGGCGGATATCGTATATAAAATTAACGAAATTCATAGTGTTTGCAATTCTCACTCTGGGTGGTCTATAATTAAAGCCATGAAATTTGATTTTGGAACAGATCTGCGAAATTTTTGGGCCACAAAAATTTTTTGCTAAACGTCATAATTGCATGAATGAGTCACTTACCACTAGACAGGTTATAGATATTCTGTTCATTAGTTCTAACATGACCATCAACACCGGGTATCTCAATGTATTCAAACTGACGATACAGTGTAGTAGCTAATTTAGGAGCCAGTCCACCGATAACCAGTAACTGTTGAGGTTCACCTTCACTTCCCATTGGTATCATACCACCATAGCCTCTCTTAGTCACAGAATTATCACTAGTTGGTTGCAACTCTTTCCATTGAAGAATTAAAGTGTCTAAACAGTTCAAACTGTTAAGGTAGCAACTGCCATGGCCACACCAACCGCCAAAATAATAAATATTATTATTAATGACAGCACAAGAGACTCCTTTAATTCCCAATGGAGGAGTACCTCTAGTAGGTTTAGAGGACCAGACACCAGATAATAAGTTAAACACATCAATAGCAGAAGTACACTCTCTCTTTGTAGGAGAATCGTGTGACTTATCTAAACCTTCCTGGTCTCCTCCCCAGCAGTACAGGACCTCTCCTACTACTGCAGTTGTGTGTTGAGCCCTCCATCCCAGTTTATACTGACCTGTAGAATACCAATAATTAACATTTACAAGAGAGAGGAGAGAGCTACCTGATACATCTAAATTTCTGTCCATAACCTCGCCTTTTACTTCTCCGGCCTACACGTGTCCACTGTCCGCCCACCCATGATTGATTAGACTATTTTACTCTTGATTACATAAATAGTTGCTTGACATTGACTTATTATTGAGTTGTATATTCACATAAAACTACATAAACAGAAAATCAAACTAGCAAGTGTTGGGATAGTCTTTGTCTTTTATCAAGACACCTCTGAGCACTCTCTCTTTCCTTCTGCTTCATTGGCTCCTTCTTCTTCCTTTGCCTATAACTCTACAACAATACAATCAGGTATAATAATTATGATTACTTTAATATTATTATACACAATAATACTGACAATGAAATTTATTCTATACAAGCTCAAACTTTCCTGAAGGAATCC